TCATGAACTTGTTCAATCAAATAACTAAAAAAACATTAAAAAATCCATAAATATTCACGTACTTGTAGTACCACAAACTAGAGAGTTTACAGAAGGATCACTCGACCTTATTTAGAATTTTTGCGATTGTCACTTGTTATATAGCTGGTTTGCTACTGTCAAAAATCTCAAATTAAAGAAGTGTCAAAATAGCAAAATCTAATACAATAACGTAATAGGGTTCAGAGCCAATTTTAATCCAAGAAATATGACGTCCGTGGCTATGGCAACCATCTTCTTAGTTATATGAGTTCCTATGTGATTCTAGTTCATTACAGTAAGTGTCAGTAAAAGTCAAAATTGTCGCTAGTACTGAGTGAGCCATCTATAAAAGCGCACTGTCCGCCGTCTCCATAATTTATGCTCGTACCTACCTAAATAAATAATGTACCTCCTAAAACACGCAAGGTAAGAAGCAAGGAAAGTCAATTGGAAAACTTTTTTTGTAGGGCTTTTTAATAATCAAAGCAAAATCCATCAATAAGTTAGGTTTCGGCGAATTCCAACTCAACTTATAATAAAGCTTTTTGAGGCGAAATCGACTCGGTGAAAAAACATCGAAATGCTCTCAAAAGGTCACCTACATACACTTATTTATTTATAACTCGTAACTTTATAACACATTTTGACTTATAGAAATATGTGTAGGTCAAATCAAATGGAGGCAAAGACAAAAATTGTTAATTATTGTAACAAAATTTTAGTTCAAACTGTAGTTACAATTGCATGGTCATCCTATAAATAATATTGTTTTTCATGTAGCCTATTCTGTGTCCCACTGCTGCTGCAAAGGTCTCCATTTCTTTTACGCCACCTATCTCGGTCTTCAGTTTCCGATTCCCAGTCACCAAAAACTAAGTTCAGGTCATCTCTCCATCTTCTTCGAGACCGGCCTCGTCGTCAACGACCATCATGAGACACCCACTGCGTAGCTATCTTAGCCCACCTGTCGGGGTGCATGCTACAGACATGTCTAACCCAGTTCCACTTCAGTTTTTCAGAGTTTCCCAACGCTCGACATATCCAGCCCAGCCCTTCAGTTTTACAGATATTTTCCAGCGGTCAAAAATTAAAAATATTTCTATTTAACTAAAAGTTTAGTGAGTGACGTAATATATAGGTCACCCAAGTAAATACAATATTTACAAGTTGCCGTTTAATACCAATACTCTTTAAATCCGCATTTGAATAACAATTGCGATATAATGGAATACAAAATTAGAGGGATTTTAACTGTGCTTAGAATTCGCATGGAAAATGAGAAACATTTCTGGTCCTATGCAAATTTGCTGGTCCCGGCCGTTCGCGTTCGTTGGACACAGTAAAAATACAGATAATATGATTACAAAGAGACGTATTTAGAACATGATAAATAAAATAAAAAATGCTGGTAATGCAAAACAAATTAGTCATTCACAGGATTCGACACAGATTTCTTACACAAATTAGGAAAACAGCGCGCAGGAAGCCTGTACAAATGGCTCACTCAATAATAGCGGCGATTCTGACGCTTACTGACTTTAACTGGAATCTCAAGGTAACTCAAGGTAACTAAGAAGACGGTTGCCACGAACGTCAAGAATCATATGACGTTCTTGTATAAGATTTTGCTGTTTTGATATTCTTGTACTTTGAGATTTTTGACAGAAACAACGCTGGCTATGTAACAAGTGACAACCGCAAAAATCCTGAATAGGGTCGAGTGAACCTTCTGGGTCTCTAAGGTCATTTGCTTTATCTTGTTTAGTATATTTTATTTTAATACTTTTGTATTTTTGATGTTTGTATTTCAAAGGTTGATAATCGATCAAAAATAGATAACGAAATTGTTTCAGTTTAAAAACGAGTCACTTATATAAATACAAAGGCTTAGGTAGAGTTTCAACCTCTCTGTTTAAGAATTTCACGCTTTGTACACACACACACATCGCTACGTTTATCGGGTCTACACGTGAAATGTGAAATGTAAATTTGATATTACAACCCTTTCCGAGTAGTATTAATCATAGTTGAGCTAGTTTTACGTACGGATTTACCTTCATTTAGTAGTTTTGTTTCGTAATTTCACTTCACTTTTTCTTTGCTCTATTATGTCAAGAAAAAAGAGCATCTCAAACAATACAACAAGGTACTTAATCTTTCATCAATCATCTAGGAATTTGCAGTTTTCTAATTTTAGAGATCGACAAAATTGGTAAAAAGTTCCCAGCAAAGGGACCTTCGCTTCAAGTAAAGATACTTCACCAATCCCCATACTATTTTTTGCTACTTATGTAGAATCTTCTTAGATTTAGAAGGCATACTTTCCTTTGTGTCGTAAGAAACGACTTAAGGATTTGACAGTTGATGTGTATAACAATTTTAGGCGACAGGCTGGTATCCTGTCACTATGGTACACAGTCTTCTGAACGACTCTCAAACTTTCGTCATACCTACTTGGTGTAAATGGCCGTATTTTACAGCCGTTTATGCTCTGCCTTACCCGGAAGGGATATGGGCATGATATATTGTAGGTACTTATTTTCCTTTGGAGGCAAAGTACCGGAGACAAAGTAGCCAATTTGTAGTTCTATTCAGGGGAAAGACTTGGAAGCAGCTCCCAGTATAACAATGTTGCTTTGTCCGTTGGTTTTATGCTTCTTTCGCGATCGTCTTAAAGCTCTAACAAGAGATAAAAAGTAGGATGTGGGTGCCCCCCAAAAAATATAGATTTGAATTTAGTCGATCATTGGGTTACACTGTTGGTGATGATGAGAATTGATGCCCCTAACTTGTAAAGCATAGAGCCTCAAAAAAGAATGATCAGCCAATGACCATGGAATTTCAAGTAAAAATATTATTTAATAGAAAAATACCCACCCATTTATAACGTGTGATACAACAACAAAAGTGCCCGGAAGGTTTCTCGGATGCTAGTGACGGGCGAAGGAAACTAATGTGTCACACAAAGTTGGATTTCCATTGGACCAAACGGGAATGGCGACCGAACGAGATTTTCCAAACGTTATTCGATTTAAAAAGATACAGTCCCCACAACTTCTGCAAAGCTTTTATAGAGAACCTTTGATCCTTTGCGTAGTCATGTGCGGCTGAAGGATTTCGTGAAATTTTTATGATATTACCCAAAGGTTTTTACCTACGATTCTACATCTATTTAGACGGCAAACGTATCACAACCATGTGAGAGGCCTGCTACTTGTAGTAGGTTGTTGTACAACTCTGACACCAGGTTTCATTGGTTCTTTCGACGACTCAGTGCCCCACACGAAGAGAGGACGGAGAAACATCTAGCGCGCCGTTTTCCTAATTTGTGCATCTAGATTCTGGTTGCTTGGAATTATTTCTTGCATCATGTTCATGTCATAGGTCAAACTACGCCTGTTTAAGTTCAGTCACAGAATTTAAGATAGTATGGGATTTGACAACTTATGGGAAACTCTGTAATGTCATATTCAAACAATCTAAAATTTTGCGTCAAATGCACAAGTGTGTTTCGAATTTCGATCCTTTGTGGGATACTGAGTCCACGGAAGACCCGATGTGCCCTAGTGTCAGTTTATCATACGCCCGCTGCTTTCTTTTCGTAGACCTTGGACATGGTTGTATAACATGGTTTCTACCCTTAGTTACCTTACCACGTTAGTATTTTCGGTAGCTGAAAAGTTTAGCGTCTGATAAATTGACAGAGTCAAGTAAAATCAAGTCCGGGGTCTCTTTAAGATAAAGTTAAATGTTTTTACTTCCGCTCTGTAAATAAAACGCCCTATTTTACGGTTTTCTTTGTTCTTACTACGTTGTTGCTGATAACGAGTTTCGACTTGAGCATGCCCCTAATTTTAGCGCCAGTTTTCACGAACTTTCAAAATAGCGGCTGCGTACATGGATGACTTGCGGTAAATTATTCTTCATCGGTTGGTGCCTTTCATCACGTAGGGTCGGTCCATTAAATACTTATTGGGCAACAAAAGAAAGCGTGCTTACCAAAATTTATCGACTGGGGGCAGAAGGCGCGCCCGCGGAGCCGGCAGCGAGAAGCGGCAACTGGTGCGAGCGGGCGCAACAGGCAGCGACGCTGGCACACACTTCAACCAACGACCATGTTTCCACACGAGATTTCACACTGTTCCTATGTTTGGCCCGCTCCGGCGGAAAACGGCGCGGCGTTCGCTCGCCGCAGTCGCGCGCCCCGGTCTGCCGCCGCCGCCCCGCGCCCCGGCCCACCCCCCGCACCCCCCACCCGCTTATTCGCACCCTTGTGACACTCAAAACCATTGTTCACAAACGAACCTTTTCGTTAACTACGGAACATGAATATGAGATTACAGCAGCAGTTAGCGCGCCTTTTCTGCCCCCTCGTTATTCCTATTGTCATTCAAAATTAAGACCTATCTCTGTTACATTGTATAAAAGTATTAGGTACTGTGGTTTTGCTGAAAGCCTTCAGAGCGGCGAGCGGATGAATGAATAATATCCAGGCGGGAATCGTTTCGCCGAGTCAGGCAGTGAAACCGTTCAGCGGAATAGAATAACACTTTGGAAAAAGGGTAAACGAATGTAATTGTTTATCTACTTTGTTTTCGGCAGTCCCGGAGGCCCCGGAGGGAGTTGGGGTACTTTCAGCTGGAAATCAATTGAAATCCTCCGGGGAAATCGAATCCAAGTCTTACTAGGCTTCAGTATTTAATATGTAATATTCGCAAAGGTTTTTATCTCAGGCATGACTAGCTTAACCTTTAATCCTTTGTATTCGAGGTAAATCTGTTGGCACAAATTTAGGACGCAGATAAGTACTTTGTTTATTGATATGTGTATTTCACGTATGTATATATCAATGTTTTTATCCACATACATACATAAATACATAATATTCACATACATAACTGATTCTCACAAGTGAAAATAAGAAATAGAAAAAGTGTCATACATTGACCGGGAATCGAACCCGGGCCGCATCAACCGGTGCATCGATAGCTCAGTGGCAGAGCGGTGGGGCGTTTACCCATGCGGCCCGGGTTCGATTCCCGGTCCATGTGTGACACTTTTTCTATTTCTTATTTTCACTTGTGAGAATAATTAGCACTGTGAGTGCTTTACAATCCCAATAGATTGATTAAGCAAGCTTCATCATATGGTTTGAATTTCACTCATAATGTGGACTAGCCATGTAGTAAGTTCTAAATACTTTCTACAGATGTCACTGGATCGTCGCTTGGAGACGAGCATCAAGAGATAGAAAATTTGGCATTTATCAACCGGTGCATCGATAGCTCAGTGGCAGAGCGGTGGGGCGTTTACGTTGGGGTTCGATTCCCGGTCGATGTATGACACTTTTTCTATTTCTTATTTTCACTTGTGAGAATAATATAGCACTGTGAGTGGTTTACAATCCCAATAGATTGAAAATAAATTCATTAGCGACCGCCTGGACTTCAACCCGGGGCCGTGAAGTACCGTCCCACTGCTCTACCTACTGAGCTACAGGCGCCTGGCGAACCCTGATGAATTTCTAAACTTCTTGATACTCGTCACGAAGCAACGATTATCAAATTATAAGAATAATTTATAGCACTGTAAATGCATTAAAAATCTCATTAAACTCAAAAGTTTTAAAACGTATACTTATCAAAGCAAAAGACTTTGAGCTACAATATTTTCCGCTTTTATTAATAATACAAGTCTTCTAAGGTATTCCAATATTTGCTTTCAGGTTAAATATGGCTGAATATTATAATATTCCTAGAATTTACCAAGTTTTCATGCTAGCTTCATTTCTTCGAACAATGTACTTGACGTGATTCCTTAGTATAATATTATGTTACACACTAGAGACCCGCTCAGTGGTTGCACCTGCTATTATTTGGTTTCCCGTGGTGGGAATAAGTTGGTTTCCTGGCATAGGTATATGAATTACTCAATTAAACCCTTTCTTAAATGACTCTTTTTTGTTGCGTATTTTAGAATTATCTAGCGGTGTCCGTCCTTGACAAACAGAACCGCAAAAAGCGACTTCATTTTGTTCTTTGTATTAATCATAGACAAATGAAACCTTTCGAATGACAATTTGGTGCTCTGTTGTATTAATGCTACGAAGATTTCGTAGAAATACTACACCGTAGCCGTAGCAACACGCTACGTGAGGATAAAATGAAGATTGTCATAGGGGGGTAAGCTACACAGAATAGAAGCGCGACGCGGCGCACAACATGACATCTGTCAGACAAACGATCGTCATCCATTATTGATTCGACGCGCGTCTCACGAGTGTCGCTTTGTCACTTCTGTTTTGTTTCATACATTTTATATGGAAACGGTTACAAGCGTCGCGATTTCGCGCGTGTCACGTCTCCGACGATCACTTGTTTGACATTTGACATCTTGCGTCTTTCGTCTCCTCTGTGGAGCTTGCACCCTAGACGCTGGGATTTTCTTTCGTAGAAAATTCAACATCCACATTCGTCATAGCATTCATAGCAAATCTCATAAAAAATTACGTCTCATACAAAATCAATCGCAGATCGGGGTCGATAGAAATCTTATTCCAGCCCCATATTTCCGACCCCTGAAGCGCTATACACACATAACGTCCGTTGATGCGTTATTTTTGCGCAGCCCTATCCGTTGCATTTGAAAAATACGATTTTCCACCTTATTTTCTTACACATACGGTTTATATGAAACGGTTTGACAGACGCATCCGTTAGCGTAAAAATATAGCACAACGCCGCGTTGACGGAAGCATTTGTCAAACTATTTGACAAGAATAATTATGTATGAGAATAAGGTGGCATTGCGTTGTCCCAACGCATGCGTTACGCAGCCCAAAAATAACGCACAAACAGACGTTGCGTGTGTTTCTCGTCTAATGGATACAACATACGAGTAAACTACGTCACATTTTGTACAATAAATGTCTACTCGACAGAAGTTATGTACAAATGTCACAAACTAGGGAAACAGCGCGTGGGGCGCCTATACAGATGGCTCACTCAGTAGGTACTAGCGACAATTTTGACGCTTACTGACTTTAACTAAAATCTCAGGGGAACTCTAGGTAACTAAGAAGACTGTTGCCACAAACGTCATTTCATCATCATCTTCCTGCCCTTATCCCAATTACTTGGGGTCGGCGCAACACTTTTCGTTGAACACGAAATCGTGTTGCAAAAGGATTTGGCTGAAATTTACGACCGGCCGCCTACCTGACGTCAACCCTCTTTGGGAATGCTTTTGTGGTGGATTAACGCCACCATACGGTTGGCCCTGGCTGTTTGGGTCGGGTTTATCCCTCGATCGCCTCTTACGACCCCCCCGGAAAGAGAGGGGGTGGTGCTATTCTACTCTGCCGGCACCACACGGCATTTCTTGGATTAAAATTGGCTTATGAACTAATCATATGACGTTCTTGTATAAAAATTTTGCTATTTTGATATTCTTATACTTTGATATTTTTGACAGTAGCAACCCTGCAAAAATCCTAAATAGGGTCGAGTGAACCTTCTGTTACCTCTCTATTTTGTAAAAATGTAATGTATGTATGGTGTATGTAACTATACGTGTAGATAGTTCCCACTTTCCATAGTAAGATTGAATATTTTATTAGGAAAATACTTATTTTGTGCCTTGCGCGTGGAGTGCGTATTATTAGTCTGTTGTTATGGTTGTAAAAACTGATTATTGTTTGTACGTATAATTTTGAAAAGAATATGTCATTGTGGTATGAACTAATTACTGTCTGTACATGCCTATAATTTTCAAAAGAATACATGTTGATATATGACAGTTTTAATTATGTCACAGAATTTTTATGTGTAAGCTAACATTCGTTTGTAGAAATAAGACAGAATTTTTTGTCATATTTATACCATGTTATTGATAAAACGATTAAGTAATTTAAACATGTTATAGCATGATTTTGACATCTGTTAATATGGCCTAATCGAATGGCCGTCTTTCTAATTTGTAATAGAACTGTGAGAGCAAAAATCTAATATTGTATCGATAAATGAATGAGATATAGGTGAGTTCCGACCCTGAAGTAACTTACCTACCCCTATCGCTCGTGCTCGGTCGTATACACCCCCATACACTTACCTGAATGATTTTCTCATTAAATCTGAAACGAACTTGAACAAAATAGGTATATGAATACACCTTCCCTATTATTAGGTAGAAGTGAAGCCCCACCTACCCTTAGAGAGACACATAAAAACCTACAAATTATCGACCTACCCGCTGGAAAATAGCTAGTCAATTATAATGGAAGTCAATATATGGGCCCCTCCTAGCGTTTTGAAGGCATGTCAAGGCTGGGCGCCAGGGTTGAATCGGGGGGTGTTAGCAAACTTTGTTTGTACAGGATTATTTTCCTTATCAATATGTATAGGTTGGGCCCACCTGCAAAATCACAGAAAAGAATCTGTTGTTCACAGTCTTTAAACAGTGAATGGAATCACTTTTATGGTGTATTCATGGTGTATGTTGTATTTTAGGTGACCAAAAAGTAAACATTGTTCTTATTAGTTGGTAGAATGGATCATTTCACTCCTAGGCATACCCTCTTCTTATTGGACGGTAATATGATAATGCCATGCTCTCACCACGGTTGGCAGGCAAAATAACGACTGCAGTGCAAGATGTTGCATTCACAGAATGCACTGCTGCCCATTCCCTTAGTCAGTTATAAAGAACTTTACACGGCTAAACGAAGGCACTACCGATAAAAATCAGGCTAGAGACACGCGTAACTGATGCGTCTGTCAAATCGTTTGACATAAACCGTATTTGTACCATAATAATGTCGAAATTCGTATTGTTCTTATGCATGCGTAACGCAGCGCAAACATAACGCGCAAACAGACTTTACGTGTGTTTTTCTTCTTAGCATTCTAAGCCGTCTCCTCACGGTAAAACAAAACTACGCTTACTACAGGTTTTGATAGACGGTACTAGGTACCTACTATTTGTATTGACTGACACAACAAAGAACATTCCACAAAATGTGATTCCTAGAATGTCTCCCTTATGGGAATACTAATTCCGCCCCTGGTGACGGAGACCGATGCTTTACCTCGCTGGGGTTAGTTTAATTACAACAAACCTGACAAACAGGGTAGTGATGTCATCACACCTGCTAATTTTAAACAACTTTGTCGTGTGGAGCTTACAATAGCAACAACAATTTCTATCCGTGGTGTTTCAAGGTATAGTGAAAGATAGTATAGTGGTAGAACTTAGGTATGAATCCAGAGAGTGTGCAAAAGCGTTCCCTGTAAATGCAATCTAGCTACCAGGCGTGGTAAGCTAGAAAGCATTCCCCTATCAGGGAAGGATTATTAGAGATCAAACGAACTTACCTGTAAGTGAAGTTCGATCACAATTATGTGAACGGCTTCATTCGACGCGATTTATTGTTTACATAGTGTAGTTTCGTCTCCACGTACAAGCCTTGCACGGATATTTTAAAAAACAAAAATCAATTTGAATCGATTTTACAATATTCGAATTCAAATCGATTTTTATTGGTAATTTTTTTCATTTTAAGATGGCAACACTGCCAACCTACCCCTGCTCATCCACCCCTCCCATTGTACCCTTCCGGTCTGACATTCACTCTTTGACTCATTTAGTTTATAGCAGATAACATTTTATTCACAATTTTCTACTTTCTTACAAGTAAAATTTGTGTGTGTGGGATGGGTTCAAGATTTTAATGTGAAAACAGGGTGGGTGTGTGTGCATAAATCGCGTCGAATGAAGCCGTTCACATAATTGTGATCGAACTTCACTTACAGGTAAGTTCGTTTGATCTCTAATTATGTTTCACGGCTTCATTCGACGCGATTTATTGTTTACATAGTGTAGGATGTTCAGAGACCACCCATGAAGGAAATAAAATGTTATTATTTTTCTGTAAAATTGAAGGTAGACAAAATAAAACAGGTAAGAATGTTTTATGTAAACAAATTATTATTGTGTAATAAACACGACGTGCATAATTAATATAATTTTATCATTTCAGGTTAATCTGTACAAG